CACATCTGTCACCTTGCTGTCAATTCCCAACACTTTTTTCCCCAACGCTAACAAAAAGTTCAAAAGGGGAAGATCATCTGATTTTTCCTGACAATCCCTTTCTTATTTCCCAATCTGCAAGCATATATATTTGAGATATTTAGCTCTGGCTGGTTTGTTTCAGGTTTGATACTTTTAGGAAGCTTACTGTATGTGTGTTACCATATATGTCTCAATATGTTTTTTAAAAAAAAGGAAAGAAAGGGGAAAAAATCATTCTGTTTCAAATAATGAGCATGTGCACCTTTTTGCCTCAGGCCTTCATACACAATTTAGCCAGAAAGCCAGGGCAGATCATGATTTAGCATTTGACATCTCTTGCCTTCAGGCCAGGGGAGACTAATACAGATTTCTGACTCTGAGCACACCATGGAAAAAAAAAGTGAGAGAGAGAGGCCTTTTATTGACTAAATGATAAAGAGGTTTGTAATGATAAATAACAGTCATTTTATTGTGGAATTCCCCAGAAAAGATGCATTCTGCAGTGTCTGAAGAAGCCTAAAAGCCGAAGCTGGTTCCCTGTGGATCCAAACCTGTTAAGCTCCAATCTTTCCAGGCAGAAATAGAGGTCGCAAATTGCATAGGACCTGCACTATTAAAACTGTATAAGCACGATACATAATCACTGCTGCATCCAGGACAGTTAGCACTAAGAGGATTAGCTGAAGGCTGCTTCTGGCTTTCTCTCCCTCAGCCTGCATCTAAAACAAGCCTGGTACACACCCAGACTGCTTGAGAATTTTCTGCCAGCTTTGATCGATAGTTTAATTGTAAACTTTGGGAGCAATAATGGATAATTCAGCTTGAACCGTCCATTATAAGCGCTGTTGCAGAGGATGGAGCTTTCAAAATTAAACAAGAGTTGTGTAATATTATTACATTTGTACTCCTCACCTACAGTTAAATTCCATTTACAAATACTGTCTTGACAATGTATGGAGTTCAATAAACATAGGCCCAGGTGGGTTGAGTGGGGAAAGGAAAGAGGAGAGAAGCTGAAGCCAATTATTTTCCATCTACTCCAGAAAGATTTTTATTTTAACCTCACATATTAAAACACATTGAAATGGAAACAGGAAGATGGGAGATAGATAGAGATTCAAGCACTGGACTAAGTTGTGGTTACTGTTTTGACTGCAGCACCATGATGGAAACGTACCTAAATATCTGTAGATGGATTGTGGTACAGCAACACCAGCAGAAAAATGTCTCAGGAAAGTGGTAAACATGCACTGCTCACCAGGAAGTCTATGTTGGCGTAATCAAATTTTTAATAGGACTTGCACCAGTCAGTTGAGCTAGACTGGAGATATTCATGCTATCACATGGGTCATTTTCTAAAACACAAGAGGACACAGCAACATTCTGTGGTGAGAAATCATCCTGTCTTGGAAGATGAATAGGCAGAATGGCCAAGAAGTTAGCTATCAAGCTTCCTGGCAAACATATTCTACCATACCACACGTGCAAACACTTCCATACAATTCTAAAACGAGGAGTGAAGACATAAGGTTAGAAAAGTAGTTCATGCTACCAGCTTTCCAATGAATTTAGGAACTCAAGTCAAATTTTCTCAATAAACCGTTCCACAGCTAATTTGAATTAAATGAATTCTCTAATCATAACAAGACCTGTGAGTTAGGACCTGTGAGTGTCAAGACCACAAAGAGGTTTTCCCACTCCTCATAAAGGCCATTGGTATCCATCTAAAATCTCCATGTCCGCCTTAGTTTTTACAGCCAAACAAACAAACAAACAAAACTAGTGTTTTGTGCTAATGGCCAGGACTCATGGCCAGAAGTATTTTGTCTTGGCTTCCTTTGTTTTTGAGAAGCTGACATCCAAATTCAACACACAAAAGTCATCTAAAGCTCTTCCTGCATGCTCTCTCATGCCTGACTAGCATGCAATTAAATGCATGTTATTCCTACTGCCTTTCTTATCACCCAGCTTGGACACCTTGACAGAAAAATGCCCAGCATGAACAAAAGGAGCAAAAAAGAAAAGGTATTTTTGTTTGCTTGTAAACCCAAAGCTCCACTTGAAAAAATAGGCAAGTAGAATACAAACTGGACACTTCAACCAGTGCAATTCACAAACCAGGAAGCTGCTGGACTTGGCAGACGAAGCCAGGTAGCACCAATTTTTGCAGTTCAAGAGTACCTGCACTGTGTGTAAGCCATTGCCATGGTAATGCTGTAACTTTCATGGATCAGTTATCTTCAAAGAAAACTTCATCTCATTCCATTCCTTTCCTTTTGCAGCAAAGAAACATTTTTCCTTTTTCAATAAATTCTTTGTAAAATGATGCAGATTTTGGTGTCATATAGTATCAACACATTTTTAGCCTTTAGCTGTGGTTTTTCCTCTTGGGAAAGGAGGCAAATAAAAGTTTTCTTCACTGATCATTGGTTTATAATACCCCTATATTGCTGCCAGCTCCAACAAAGAACTTCTTACACCAACAAAGACTCCCTCAGGCTGTGGGAAGAGACCAGAGTTTGCAAATGCAATCTACATTCCAGGGAATCAGGGAATTACCTATGGCTCTAATAATGTATGCTTGGAGAGAGTAAAACTGCCATCCACCATCAGAAACAGTGCTGCCAGCAGGACCAGGGCACTGATTTTCCCTCTGGACTTGGCACTGGTGAGGCTGCATTTTGACTCCTATGTTCAGTTTTGGGCCCCCCTCTACAAGACATTGAAGTGCTGGAGCACATCCAGAGAAGGGAAGCAGCGCTGGGGAAGGGTCTGGAGGGCATGTCCAATGAGGAGTGGCTGAAGGGGCTGGGGATGTTTAGCCTGGAGAAAAGGAGGCTCAGGGGGAAACTTACTAGTCTCTACAACCACCTGAAAGGAGGGTGTAGCCAGGTGAGGGTCAGTGTCTTCTCCCAAGTTACAAGTGATAGAATGAGAGGAAATGGCCTGAAGTTGAATCAGAAGAGGTTTAGATTGAATATTAGGAAAAATTTCTTCACTGAAAGGGTTGTCAGACATTGGGACAGACTGCCAAGGGAAGTGGTGGAATCACCATCCATGGAAGCGTTCAAAAAAACCTTTAGATGTGGCACTAATTATTTTTCCAAATCTTTAATCTGATCAGGCACATATTAGGAGAATATTACAGGAACAGTTATCAACTACAAGCACAAGGCAGGTTATGATTAATTCTTCTTGGTAAAGGAGGTTTCAGTTTTAAAAATGTGAATGGACTGAAGCTATTGACATAGAGTTGTTTTTTCAGGATATTGAGGCTAAAACTGAAATAGTAGGAAAATCAACAGATTCCATCCAACATATCTTCCATCTTTCATGGGTCCTTCACATAAAAAGAAATAAAGCAAAGCTCTGTGTGTGAAAATAAGGTGGAATTTGCTGGCCTAGTTACAGGGGTGATTGACAGAGTTTAATCTATCAAATTGTGTGCTGTGGTCACAAGCCATCAACCTGTGCTCAGCAATCACAGGTTCAAGGATAAGTAGTTAGCATCTGTCAGAACTGAGACAATGTTATCCCAAGTAGAGGTTTAATAAAAGCTGTCTATTCCTCCTCCTTTCCTGAGAAACAGTTTAAGAGCAATGTATTTGTTTGAAGGGGAAAAAAATAAGTTTAAAAAGGAAGCTATGTACATAAAGGTAAAACTTTTTGGTTGTGTAAACAATATAGTTTGGCCTTTAGTAATCATTTGCTTTGCTTAAAATGGATAGACCAAAAATCACATAACCCAACTGGAACATCATGATTCACTTTAATGTCTCTCCCTCCCTTTTCCATTTCCCAGGGTCACCCACCAGTCTCAAGACTATTTGGCTAGTTCCCCCATTTTTTAACTCTCGAGAATGAAACTCCTGAAATTTATTTCTATCAGAAAGCTCAGCAGAGGTGTAACAAAAGGACATGCAAAACCAAGCCACTGCAGATAAGTACACCTAATTATTCAGTACATATTAGCTCATTCTGTCAAGGGATAGTGTTGTGGCACCCTAAGCTCTGGGTTAGTTTATCTGGAATGAGCTCTGATCCCTCAGACCCTCTGTCTCTCTCTCGCACTTGACATGCAATGAATGCCCACAGCCTTCTCCTTCAGAGCTGGATATTGGAAGAGTTAAGAAAATATTTAAGAGGCACAAGAGTTCTGTTCTTTCTCAGCAGGCTCACGTGAAAAGATCTAAACCAGCACTTGCAACTGTGGAGTTTCTTATTTCCAATTTCCTTTGGCTCTCAATAGCATTTTTTCTCAAGACTAATTTCATCCCAGTATATCTGATAAGAGATTTTTAAAAATACACATTTTTGGTGAAGATACGGTATTCATGTGGGCATCCAGCCATTTCTTTCAGAAAGACAAAAGTACTTTTATGCAAGCTCTTTAGTTTTCTATTTGTAGAAAAACTTCTTGGCAGATGCTGCTTAATTGATATGCACATTTCCAAGGTCACTTTTTACAGCAAAATAAATATTTCTCTCTGTTCCCTTTCTAAATCCCTGTGTTTTCCTCATGATGATATCTATGACAACAGGACTGAGTGTTTGAAGCACGGGGTCACACTCAATTTTTCACAAGCATGTACTTTTTCTTGAAAGATGTTTTTTCTGTCTACCCAGCAGTGCACTCCGATGGCACATGTGACAGCCCTAAAAGTTTGGGAAGAAAGAGTTGCAGAAATGTCATGTGAAGAACTCTAGTTTGGGAAGAGCTTCACTTGTTGGCAACAAGGTTTATATAATCACAAGAAAATCATCACTAAGAAATACTGGTCTTCTGATACACTGCTTGGTAGGATCCTATTCTATAGCCCCCAGTGCTGGCTAAGTGCCACTGCCATTATAAACCCACGATAAAACGCCTCCTCATTTTAACAGGATGAGTTATGCCAATTATACTGCTTGCTTTTAAGACAGGGTCCTTATACCCAGATCAGATATACACCATCAGCTGCGTTTATTTAGTTACTTACTGTCCTTGAAGATTTTGCAGCTCACAGTGACCTGTGACTTTCTAGGAGAGGTTCAGCCCCATTGTCTCCATCATATCTGAGCTGCTCTTGCTCCCAATCACTTGGTGGTGCTGCAAGAGAAGCAGAAGAGGCATCTCCAAACCTGCCCATAGGGAACATATTTTTCACTCTTCTCTGGAAATGATAAATGAAAACAGTCTGGAAACATACTTTAGCCAATCAGGGAGACAACTGACCAAACCCTTCACCTATATCCCAGTGCCCCGTATCAGCTCTGTGGTTTTTAGCACCTATTGGAAAATAAGGGAATGACTCCTTCAAGGCCACAAAGTGCTGGTATTCATGCTCAGCATAAGCAAAGAAATGAGATTCCTTTGAAAGTTAAATGTGCTCTATCTTTTGCATCAAATATGCCATTTACTGCCACCTGTACTTTAGTAGTAGAAAGGGACATCAACATGGTTATGTGATGAAAAACATTAAACAAGCGGTAATCCACGCTGAAACAATCTTACAGTTTCAAGACAAAAGAATGTCGAAAGTAGAAGAAACAAATATCAGTATACCAAAGATTTATATTCAACATGAACTGCAAGAAGTGAGGTCACTACCACAGTTCTGATGGACCTTTGTCAGGAATTCAGAAAAGAGAGACAGCAGAGACTTTAGCAGAGACAGCAATGACTTATTGCTTTGGATTTTTGGGGCCAGGTTTTGGTAGCAGCGGACCTCCAGGGAGGGCTTCTGAGAGAAGCTACCAGGAGCTTCCTCCATGTCTGATGGAGCCATTGCCAGCCAGGTCCAAGACAGACCCATTACTGACCAAGGCTGAGCAACAGTGGTTGCAATTCCGGGATAATATGTTTAAGAAGGAGAAAAAGTTGTCACACAAGAGCAACTGCAGCTGGAGAGAGGAGTGAGGATGTATGAGAGAAACAGCCCTGCAGACACCAAGGTCAGTGAAGGAGAAGGGGGAGGAGGTGCTCCAGATGCCAGAGCAGAGATTCCCCTGCAGCCCATGGTGCAGCCCACAGTGAGGGCAGGCTGTGCTCTGCAGCCCATGGAGGTCCACAGTGGAGCAGATACTTGCTCCATGCCGGAGCAGGTGGAGGACAGGAGACTGTGACCCCATGGGAAGCACATGCTGCAGCAGGCTCCTGGCAGGACCTGTGGCCCTATGGAGAGAGGAGCCCACCCTGGAGCAGGTTTGCTGCCAGGACTTGTGACCCTGTGGGAGACCCACACTGGAGCAGGCTGTTCCTGAAGGACTGCACCCTGTGGAAGGGACCCACAGTGGGGAAATTCATAAAGAACTGCAGCCTGTGGGAAGCACCCACCTTGCAGAAATTCATGGAGGACTGTGCCTAATGGGAAGGACCCCACACCAAAGCCAGGGAGGAATATGAGGAGCCCTGTCTCTGTGGAGGAAGAAGTGGTAGGGACATGTGATGAACTGATCACAGCCCCGGTTCCACATCCCCCTACACCACTGTGAGGAGGAGATAGAGAAATTTGAAGTGAAGCTGAAGCTGGAAAGCAGGGAAGGGTGTTTTTAAGATTTAGTGTTTAATTCTCATTATCCTACTCTGACTTGTTTGGCAATAAATTAAGCTAATTTTCACCTTGATTGGCAATAAATAAAATTAATTTTCCCTAGATCGAGTTTGTTTTGCCTGTAATGGTAATTGGTGAGTACTCTCTCCCTGCCCTTATCCCAGCCCAGGAGCCCCTTGCTGTGTTTCTCTCCCTGTCCAGCTGAGGAGGGGAGTGATGGAGCAGCTCTGGCGGGCACCTGGGTTAGCCCACCATATATAAGCTAACATAAGTTATAAGAAAGCACAATTATGACTCAACATTTTACAACAAATTTCCACCAGCTCCCACCAACCATTTAAAGGAAAGTCCTAGGGAAATTCTGATAAACAGAACACTTATAAATGTTTTGTAATATTTGTAGAGATGAAAATGCAGTTACACGCCCTGCAGTATACAGGAGTATACGACTGTAGGAGAATAAAAAATCATATATCTGGGCTATCCTCTATTATTTCGTGTGAGTGTAGTAGAAAGATTTCAGTAGAAAGATTTCTATTAAAACGTGGGTGCTTAATTTCTAAGACATTAGTTTTGGTACAGGTGACATTCAAGTCCTGGCTAATTGCAGTGGGAAAAAAATCCTCACAGCCAATTCTTGACATCTTCTACCTCAAAACGGTGAGGTTGCTACTCTCAGGAAACCTGACCAGACAGCTCTTCTAGAAGCCTCCATGCACGTGGGAGTCAGGATTCCAGTTTTAATACTGAAACCTGCAATATGTTCTCATCCCCACTAAGGCAAATTTTCCTTGCATGATGCTTTTATGAAGATCCGCAACTAAAGGAAACAAACATTGCTCTAAGCCTGGCAATAGCTAGTCCAAAACCCTTCAGCAAAGAATCAGCCACAAAAAAACAGACAATAACTCCCTTGTGCTGACATCCACTTCCAGTCCTTGCTGTAGCAGCAATTCACCTTCGCAGTGTTAAACACATTTCCATCTGTAGGCTGCCAAAAACCAGAATTTACTTTGAGCAGAAATGAACGGACTTTCGAGCACAACAGAACTTTTTTTCTCTTTTCTGCGTGGGTGTTTCTTTACTTGAAAAAAAAACTGTATAAAAGACAAGGAAAGTGTCTTTGATGTGTATGTGCCATTTTAAAATAAAGGCTCCCTCTCACATACTCAGAATTTTACCAAGTAGCAATTACAGGATTATCTGTGACTTCAAACATGAATTCTTTGGATGTTGTTCTTGCCTTGCTTTGTTACATTAATAATTATGTTTTAAGCAGTCTGGATTTTTTTTTCCCCCTATTTATAAACTATAGTTTGGTAAAAAATGTGCAATCACTGGATTGCTCACCAAAAGGGAAGTTTGCTTTCTGTCTTGTTATAACAAGTTCCAGCAGATAGATAATTAACATAAAATAAATATTTCTTCAGTCCCTTTACAGAAAGAAAGAGGGTAGACAAGTTATGAATTTCTGAATGAGGTTAAGACCTGATGAAGTAAGTGTGCTTACTCCTACATAAAAATTTGCACTTGAAATTTGGAAAAGCTGTCTTCAAGGCATCCATAAAATCATGCAAGCACTAAGAAATTCTTATCAGGCAAACTGCCAGCTGTCATTAGCACTCATGCTTTAATGAAGAAGATGGGAATTTTTGTTTGAATAGTTGACTACAGTCTAACCATAAATCCAAATCAAAGCATTTAGAAGAGCTGGTGGCACAGACACTGCTGAGGAATAGGGCTGTGCCCAGGTCTTTGCAGTCTCTGCAAAGCCCCAGTCAAACGTTACAGAATGTTCACTGTTGCCTCTGAGGTGCCCTAAATACACGTCCGTATAATAACATCCACCAGTGCCAGAACTGTAGAAAAATGTCTCAGTATTTGAATTTAAGATGGAAGAAATTTTGTCATTCCTTTGATTCCTTGGGAAGCCCCAGGAGAGAAGACACACAAATACAAATATCTATAAATCAGACTGGAGTCCAAAGGCTTCAAAGGTTCTTGAAAGTCACCTCAGCTTTCTTGTATGCACTTTGGTCTGTAAGTTCATCTTTCAAAGAATTTTACTCTTGCAATAAATGCACACTCAGTTTGGCTGAAAAAAATATGGGGGTAGGAACAGGAAATAATTGTACATGACAAAGAGTAGCCAGGGTTTACTTCTGACAGACCTATTCCAGAAATGCCAAGGACTTCACTATCTAAAATGTAAAAAACATTCTCTTTCAATATTTTCTAAAGATAATTGTTTTTACCAGAATGACAGTTTTCACTTAAAAATTCACCTATGACTTCTAAAAAATTAAATATTTAAAAACAAACAAAGAAAGAAAAATATCAAAACCCTCACATTCATCAGCATGATGGAACAATTCAATATATGGTGGCTGAAGCACTCTGACTGATTGGAAACTTTTTTTTTTTTTTTTTTAAGAGAGAATTGAAAATATTCTGAGCTGGTTCAACCCATAAAAACAAAATATCCTTTATTTGCAGTAACAGTCATAACACCTGTGCCAGCCACAGAATCAGTACTGTTCTCTTCTTGAGGAAGCTGAGCATACAATAGTCCAGTGACTTACCCTAGATCACAAAAGGAGTCAATATTATTGCAGAGAATTATTCTCTTTCCCTTTCCTTGTTAGTGAAAAGTATTAACAGGGCTGTAAGAAAAAACTGTCATCTCATCCTGCCAGTCTCTGCAAACAAAAAGAAAATGCCCCAGTGAAATAGAGTTGGAGGTAGACCCTGTCAGAGCCATCTTGCATGTACCATACTTAGAATTTTCATTCTGAGAGTGGAGTTTTTGTGTGGTTGTTGATTTCTCAAGTCTATGAGCATATTAGAACCTTCAGCAGCCAACAGCAACATTCACATCAGACAGAAGCCTCCCATGCTTTGGTTCTTCCTTTAGAGATTTCCAAAACCTTATTCTGTATAAAATACTTCCCCCTACATGAGAATTTACACTTGGTTACTTGACATGCAAACCACCAATATCAGAGAAAATTACTCTGCTCTTCAATGGAAGCTTCCAGGTGATCCTGTAAAAACAGCAGACCAGGAAGAGCACGGTATTGAGGGCTCCTTGGGTGATGGCAAGTGCACACAGAGAGGAGTTTCAGTGCACTGATGACACACAGCTCTGTCTCTCTGCTCTAGGTCACCCTGCATGTTAAGTCTCTGCCCTGCAGGAATAGCAGAAAGGTATTTACAGAAGGAGGTCTCTGAACTATTTCATCCTATGTCTTGGGAAAAATGGAAACCCTTTGACTGGGTGAAACAGTGTTGATATTCCATGATTGCTGCTTTTGCTACCAAACAGTACAGCTTTGTTGCTACCCCATAAGCACCAGGTTCGTAGGCACCTGACATACACAAATCCCAACTTAATTCCAGATTGTGCACCTTCTACTACCCTGGGATTTTAGTCCCTTCCTGGACTCCTGCATTCCACTACTATTTCATCAAGGAGGAGGAACAAAGACTACCTGTTCTTTAGTAGGTAGTACCTATACTACTAACAAATACTACAATCAGATTGAAGGGCATCTTTTATTCTCCATGAAAAAGCAGGACCGTGGTGCCTCACAAGTAGCTTGAGTCTTTCATGTTTGTGTTTTCAGTTTGAGCAAGTGGAAAATAATAGGTTTAGCTTTTCTAATTCCCTACATACCTCCCAAAAACAGTCCAGTTCTTTTCTGACCACAGAAGTCCTTGCTTTCCAAATACAGACATGTGTTAGATAAGCTTGGATAGAAACCGGACTAAAATGAGACCACAAAATTCATTTTTATCTTTTACTCTTGGCACTGAAATGTGGGTCTAGAGAGTGCCACAAAGCCATTTTGAAAATAGTTTCCAGAGGACAAAGTTAAAATCTGGGCTTCATTGCACTCTGTCCTGCAGATAAAGATTTGTCCTAAAATGTTTACAGATTGTAGAGGAAGCAGACACGCATTTTGCCTAAATATGCATGAAAAGATGATGGCAGACTGAGGAGTTGATCCTGTTCTTCCAGTGTGCAAATATAGATTATCACAGAACACTCTGTGCATTTTTACTTGCATAAATATTTTGCCTGCCCTGTTGAGATGACCCAAAGTAAGCAAAGGCCACAAAATGTGCTTTTTTTTTTTAGTGGGAGAGCATCTCTTGAGAAAATAACTACATTTGCACTGCCACAGATTACACTAAAAGAGAACTCAAACAAAAAGACTCCCACACAATTCTAGTACTGTAGGTAGTCCTCTATAACAAGAGTTCTTTTGTGCAAAAATAGGAGACTGGCCTTTCACATGTCCCAGGAAGTGAGCACAATGCCTGTCTAGTTTAACATGCCAAAGACAAACCACATGTAAGGAAGATGATATTGCACATCCCTGAATACTGTGAAGGACTGCAGTGAAGACCAAGACCCAAATTACTGCCAAAAAATGCACAGTGTTATCATGGCCAGACTTTCTGCAAAGCCACATTTCCATTTTCTACTTTTCCTGATCTGGGCTGAGTTACTCTACTCTAAACTAGGCATGTGCACAAAAGAAGGCTTTAAACAATTTACTTTTTGTTACCGGTAATGGGAAAAAAAAATAGTCTAAGCCTAAGAATAACCATGAAATTAATTTTTTCTTGCAGCTCCATCCTAATTACTGCCTGCTTGTTGTCTGACTTCATGCAGCAAAGAATATGTAATTCAAGACATATTTGATGCATGTTTTTAGAATGTTGAAAAATTATGTTCACATGTACAAAAGTCAAGTTTTTAAAGGCAATATCCTGCATTCATTCCCAAGACCAGCTATGATTCATCAGTTGTCTGTCAGACCACCTGTCACTCTCAAATGAATTGACAAAAAAACCCATTACAAAATGCAGAAAAAAAGCACAGTTTGTTCATGTGAACATATTTTGTAAGTATTAAATCCAGACTACACAAAGCAAATTATCAGCAATAAATTCAATAGAGAAACTTAATGGTCAGTTTTGTCATAACAGAATAATATTTTCCTGATTAATTCATAATTGCACACCACAGCTTTCCTTTTTCACTTTTCAGTGTAAAGCAGCAACCCCATCTATCCACACCCACAGCAAATCAGTGAAAAAAACTGAAGAACTGCATATTGAATCATGTTTAGACTTTGAAAAGATATGGAACATTGTCTGAAACACACATCTTGTCTCAGACAGAGAAACCAGAACACAGAAACACCACCAGGTCTACTGCTTGACATTTAGCCATAATTACTAAGCATAAGATAAAACAAGAGGAATTGCTAAAACAACCTACCCTGTTCCAACATTTAATAGTATTATTTCTTTGTTTTGAGACTGCAAGAGCCTTCCTTTACTACAAAAAAAGTGTTTTCCAGCAAACATCTTAATGGAAAGAAAAAAGTATCCTATAACTTCCTGGGGGAGCTGAAGAATACTGCAAACCTTACAGAGACAGTCTTGATAAAATTCCCATCAGAGGCCATCAGACTCAGGCAAAAATATTTGAAGCTGGAGACCACAGGAATCAGGGACTACAAGACCAGGTCCCTTGCAGACATGTCACAAGAGTGGGTGATCAACAATTTTTGAATATAGAAAAGTTGTCAAAGATTATGCCACAACAGGAAACAATGGGAGAGAAAAAAAGAATTTATTTCATCAGTCAGAAACAGCCAATATTGAACCAAAAGTTGAGAGAGAGATTCCAACTTCAGCACTGGTCTCAAGATGTCCACACACCCAACTCTAAATCAAAGCAAAGGCTCTTAAGTAACTTACAATTATCCAAGTTACTAGCAAAAATGTGGTAGAGGATACCTTAGAAAAGATTTAAAAAATATTTAGCAGATAGCATGGTAAAAATAAGCAACAATAATAGATAATAAGTAGGAAATCATGAGCTTGTACTCACATGGTAACCAGCTATGATTATACACTGTATATAGAACAGCATCGACCTGTTCAATAATTTATTAGTCCTTATTGGGCAATGGTTAACTTATACTAATCATTTTATCAATAATTTTTTTATATGAAATTTGAACTGCTAGTGGCAATCCTGGATATGAGAGTAACTCAGTTAACAGGCTGACACAAAACTCCAAGGAAGATCTATAAAACAAGCAGTTGAAAAATAAATTCCATGATGTAAGCCTATGAGTTTTCAATGCATTAGGATTAGTCAGCAGGGTCAAAAAATCATTGTTTTTTATTAAAAAGAAAAATATTTGGAGAAGCATCACACCTAAAGAAAAAGTTCAGTGAAAAGATATAAACAGAATAATAGATTACAGGAACATCTTCCTGTGATTTAGAAACCAGTTATCAGTTTACAGTTCCAAACTAAACAAGGCAAATACATGACAGGAGAAAGTAAGGTAATAGAGAGCTAGGAAAATATGCTAAATTAGGTGAGTTAGACAAAACTAAAGATTAACAGGAGATTTAAAAGGACCCACAAAAAATAGAACACCATGTATTTGAAATTCAGCATAGAAAAGGAATTTTAACTTTCTCTGAAATGAAAAACAATTATTAGTTTCACACATGTAAAAGTAGCTACTCCAGTGAAAAATAAAACACCTAGAACACTATAACAGTAAAAGGAAAGCAATATGCAGAGCTGTATGAAGGTATCTTACTCTTCACCACCCACCTAAATGAAAACTTACTACAGGTTCCATTTATGAATTATCAACAATGAAATATTAACTTTTGAAATGTATTACTTTTTTTTGCTTATAACACTAATTTCATTATGATAAGCTTCATCTTACATAAAACACAGGAGATAAAGAAAGGGCACAGAACTTAGTAGTGGTACTGAATAACTTCCCCAGAAGTAGAAATAAGAAAGTTTAACACTATTCCATTGAAGGAAACACTGACAAGAGTTAATGGGGAAAAGGATGGGTACAAACAGGCAGTTGACAGTTTTGCTACTGGCTTAGAGTAACTATGGTTCCCTTTCCACTGGGCTCAGGAAAATGCAATCTTCACTCCCAATTTGTTCACATACAGGTGCTGGGGTCTGCCCCGCAGACACGAGCATGCACAGCCGCAGTGTGTGAGGCTTTTTTCTTCCCTCTGAACCACCAACACTTCCCAATACTTGTGGTTCACTGATGTGATATATGGCTGACAATCTTGAATGCGTTGTTTTTATCAACCTTTATCGTTGCATTTTTGGGTCAGTGTTTTATCAACAAGCAGGCTTTTTTCAGGTATACCACCTTCTGAAATACTTGAGCACATGAGGTTTGATAGAAAGGATATGGATATCTGTTCATGTAATTATTTTTTTATCCATTTCATAAACAGCATAACTGTTGTTAAGAAAATGTTTATTGGCTATTGTTCAGAAAATATTATCTTTTAGTCTACTACTAATATTTGAAACCATTCCCAAACTTAAGGCATCCTTATCCACAAAAGCCTTGAGCAATTTCTGAATTAACATGATGCAAGGACCACAACACCTAGGTCACCAACAAAAGAAGCTTGCTTTGGGAGTCTTTTACTCCCAAAGCAAGCTTCTATTACTGTGGGCGCTGATTCAAGCCTTGCCTTAACAGGCAAGAAATGATGAGTGAGTTAACAGCACAGAATTGCCATGCTGAAAGACAAGGGGAACTGTTCAGTGCAGGTGCAAAATTCCGGGGGCTCGAGGCACATAATGTCAGCTCTCATAAGTAATCATCTTCCAACTCTGCTATTATTTCAGGTGCTCCTCGCTATTTACATGGAAACCAGTTGTCATTATTTCATCATCTGGCCACTTCGGAGGACTCCATAGGATTTAGATAATGCTTTTAAAAAATTGCATGGATTATTGAATTAAACCAAATTGATTTGTTGGCTTGAGGAAGGGGTGAGAAAGAGAGCCTTATTGCCATTACTCAGTAAGTTTATTACAGATTGCTCACTAAACAAAAATTACGGGCTTTGTTTGCATGTTGTGTGACAAACTTGAAACTACAAGTGTTTACATGTGCTGCACGCATACACTTTGGGGTTTTAATAGCTGGTTGACAAGAGATTAAAGGCAGAAATATGGCATTTTATTAAAGCAAACATATCAGTATGCCTACCATGATAAAATGATCTAGTTTTCTTCAGACACAAAAGTTTCTGTTGAGTGATACCTTTGAAATTCCTTGAGGGCACCCTATTATTCACTTTCCTCAGCAGAGAGCAGCTGCAAATGGTCTCCAATTTTCAAAGAGTATTGCCTGGTCATTCTTTACTGTCAAAATGAAGAAGAGCATAAAAGTTAAGTCAATAAAGTAATATGAAATGCTTAATATAAAAATTCAAGAATGAATGATTAACCATTAAAAACTTACAGTAGCTATTTCAGCCAGGAAAAAAAATTAACATTTCCCTTGAAACCTATTAACACTCCTTGTAAACAATATTCTTTCTTGAAATATATGACCTTTCCTAATGCTCTCCATACACATGGCATTTTTCTTATATCCACTTTACCTTCACTGATATGCAGCTGAATTCCTCTGGAGATGGTGTTTAGAGCCCCTTCCTCTGATGCACTGAAAAAAATGTATCCTTTGATTGCATTCCCCTTCACAAACACACCTAAATTTCAGCTTTAGATCTTAAAATCCTCTCCTCATCAGAGGGTCCCATGGCCTGTTGTGGTTGTTGACCTGCTACCACCATTCCAACCACAGACAAGTGCCGAGCATAAAATTGGTCTCTCTTATTTGAGCCACTGGGTAGCTACCAGTGTACATGCAGCAGGTGAAATGGCTCTTCCCTGCTGCATGTAGCTGAAGAGTACCTGCAAAAATCATGCAATTATCTCAGTTTCTGAGCCTTGGGTGACTGCTTACACTAAGTACCGCTTGTGCAACCTTCTGCACAGGAAATATGATCCAATTTTTAAGAAAACAGCAATTCTTTCATTTCTGGGCTCTCTTAGCCACTAACTTTTCCCTTAAAGTGCTGAATGTGTGAACTGTGTATTGTGCAGGTGAACCTGGGGAAAAAAATTACATGGAAAATGCCTGCATTTTACATCTGAGACTGACAGATGTATTGGTCTAAAACTACCAAAAGATGACTTTGGGAGTACACAGAGAGTTAGAACCTGAGATTCTGCAGGCTCCACAATGACAGTGCAAGCCAAAACAATGGTGAGGAATTCATAGCTTGTCGGAAGCAGTTACATTATTTGAAAGTACTTGTGACAAAAATTACTCAAATGAACAGTGATGGAGTTGGAAGGTGCAGAGCAAAGGTGAGCATCCATGCTGTATAAAGTCCCAGTATTAAGTCCCCAGTTGAAAAAGATGCCAAAGGAAGGGGAGGGTGACCCAGAGCTGGCTTCTTATGGCTCATTCATAGTACGTAGGCAACTGCCACTGGGCCTATGACTTCTTCAATTTCTCCTCCTTACTGGGATTTATGGGAATGGACCAACAGGCCAGCATTCTGTGCAAGGCAGCACATCACAGTGACAGTGACTACAGCAGACTTTTGAATTTCATGTCTACTGGACCTTGCATGTAGCATCTGGCACAAGAAAACACACTTGCAGATCACTTCTGTTAGACTTCAGATCACCACCAGATTTTTGGGGGGAGGCAACATTAGAGAAACACTGATTAAGAAAGTCAAGACAGCCATGGCTTGGAAAAGTGAAACCAACAATAATAAATAACACCATCCATATATTAAAATCCATCCATTAGGAAAAAGCATTCCTCTAAAACTCAGATAATGCAGATTACAGATGCAGATACCCACTTGTAGTTGCAGCAATTCTAGAAGGACAAGTAATACAGATTATATGGAGTTAATTGATGCATAATTCAAGAGGATAACTTCATTCTGACTTTAGAGATGGGTGTCTAAATGCAGCTAAAAGACAAATACAGTCATATCCTAATAATATTTCAGGCTCTGAGCCCTGTTCTCCCTGGTCTAGTAGAAGGTCATGGCAGGGGGGGTTGTAACTAGACAATCTTTAAGATACCTTCCAATCAAAAACATTCTGTAATTCTATTATTCTAAGATTTCTGGTCATCTGGGAAACTGGAATTTCTACTTCACTAGATGTCTGTGAAATAGACAGAATCTATGGAAAAAAAATATATGAACCAGGGATCATAAGCCATACCTCAAAATGCAGTATTTGGAAAATTGCACTGAAACACAGGAGTCTGTCTTTACTGCTTAGATTGAATCCACACCAAAATAATCACAATTTACATATATCCATAAGAAACTTGAACAACTTCCCTGAGGTGCTGCTCAGATGTATCCCTGAATAAAGGAAAGATGCATCTACATTCTTCACTGTACAAATAAAGATGGTCAAAGGAATATCATCTCACATGAGGTTTACAGAAGACAGTGAACTGAAGTGAACTCCACATCAACAGGCTAAAGCAAGGTCTTGTTTCTGTGTTATAAGCCTTAATGCAACTTCTTTGTAATTAGATGTTAAGTAGATCTTTCAAGACAGCAATTTAGAAAACAGAAAGCCACAAGCATTAATGATGGATATTGCATTTGAAGTCACATTTAATGCAAGGATGATAAAATCTGCATTGTAACTGGTGAATCCTTTGAACTAGTACTGCAGTGTTACAGCATTACTCTAATAATATGGGAAATACACATTTTACATGTACTCTGATTTCAAATAGAAACGGTGGAAACAGCATATGCATTTGGAAGCATAAAAGCTTCCAAAGACTTTTCCACAAAGCTAGGAAAAAATTCAGTGAGGTGCTGAATTTATTATGAAGACTTTAATCAAAGTAGTCTTAATTCAAAGAAATGAAAGAGGGGACTGCTCAGACAGGCTCACACAAGTCTGTTGAAAATCTTGTATCTCTGCTTAAACTAACATACTTTGTAAAGTCAAGCTGAAATTTGTAAAATAATATTGGTAAAAATAAGCTTTAGTTTCTTCATTTTCCTGGCATCAATCTCAGTTTTTATGGTCTGACATCACTAAAGATTGCCACTCCCTGCAAAGAATGATTAAAACCACATAGTTTAGACCCCTATTGCAGGTTGCAATGATGAAATTCTTTATCAGTTTGCCTTAGTAAAAACCACCATGACTGGTCATAGGCTACCCAGTCATTCCAGATTTCTTGCTGTAGTAAGAAACTAAACTCACCTATGAAGTAGGCACCCAATTAGAGTGAGACTGGATCATATATATAGTAAAAGACTGAGCAGCTCAGACATATTTATTGCTTAAATTTCACAAAATTTAGTTAAGCTTTAAAGTGGGAGCTCATTGAAACCACTGCACACAGATGGGCACTTGCAAGGGAGGAAGTAAGTAAGACACAGGATGTGGTAGGCAGTAAACAGACAAAAAACTCTAATAAAAAGCAAGATAGAACTAGAAGTGATGTGTGGTAATAATAAATTACATATAGTCTTGAAATGGAACAGAATAAGTATTAGAAACTTGCTAATGAAGTCAGGAAAGCTTAAACACAAATGAGAGACTGAGGATCAGATACATTTGAATAAAAATAGATGCAGATGATGTAGACCTGTATGTATATTTGTGCTCACTGTCCAAGGCATCTCCTATATAGATAGAGGTCATCTGGCCATGAAATAGCAGCCCAATTGCAGAAAAACACATCTTGTCACAGTTCTTACTATAATTTCCTTTTACAGTATCATAGAAAAGAAGTGGCAACATACTTTGTGTGCTCAAAAGTTGCTTTCATACCTTTTCTTATCTTCTTGAAGACATGCTAAACACCATCCACAATGAAGAAAATGTAAGACTAGAAGCTGATGTTAACCAACCTTTTCTGGAAACTTCTAACTCAGACTTCCTTTTTCCAGAAGAAATGTATTGGTCAGGCATGAGTACTCAGCAACATTGTGTTTGTTTATTTGTTTGTTTTAAATGCATGGATTGGTTTTTTTTTCTAGATGGAGATTCTGTGAGTTCTAGCTAAATACTCAGTTACATCCCTTAAAGCACATTATTGGCATCTAATTTGTGCTCATAAATTAAATTCCTACAGGTCATTTTCCCTATAAAGAAACGTTATAGAAATAGAAATGTTAAAGGTCTTCTGTGGCATATTTTATATTATTTCCTGTGATAAGCAGGAGAAACCTTCTATACTTGAATCATGTTCCACTGCCAATCAGGCCACGTCCATCAATGAAAAGCAGCAGCAGTAATTTGACTATTGTCTAAATCAAAATGGAGTTGTCATAGGACACTTCAGAAAATTTATTATTGGTAATAGTAGTATTAGGATTACTATTAGGCATTTACTGCAAGCAAATTACACTCCTTAGTTGACTCTCTGTGCAGTTATTGTTGTTTGGCAGGTGGCCACCACCAAGGGTGGTGAGAGTATGACAGTTCCAGCAGGTTTGGGTATTCTACTTTACTCTTTTTGGTGACTCACCTTGATATTGCTTTGCCTCATAGACATGTACCATTAGGTGTAATTCTAAAAGCCCCAAATCTCAGAACACTGAATGAACTTTTCTCAATTTTAAACCAGTCTCATGAGTTTGGAGGATATGGTCTGACACGTGAATTCAGCAGTTGTAGCACTAACAGGGACATTGCACTGCAGTAGATGTTACAGATGTCAAGGCAGCCCTGCAGAACTAACAGAAGTCTCCATAAGAATTTTTTAGGACCCTAGTAAAATTTTCCTAAAACATTTCTGTAGTTGAGACAGTACAGCTCAATCTTGATGAGTGCCATTTTAGCTTGTCTTCCTCTATGCACTTATTTATGATTTATACTCTTTGTCTCTGCAATGAATTATGGGGCCCAATTCAGGAGGAACAGGATTGCACTCAGTGGAATGTCAGGGCTCTAACATGCACTTGAGATGAAAAACAAGTCTCTAAGACACAGGACACACCAGATCCTGAATCACACTGACCGTAAGCACAGCCTATTGCACTCCATTTTTATTGTACCACCCCACCACAGCAAAAGCACTTATAAAGTGAGAGAGCTTCTACAAAATGAAATAATCTCAGGAGGAGGTACAATTCTAGATGATGACATTTTATTCTAAGCTTTTTTCAATCAGCCCCATAAAACATGGGATAAACTTTTTTTTCATGAATATTCAGTTCAAAGCCTTTTGTAGAAAATCATTGAGAGCCATCCTGATAGAGGGTGGCATCTTGATCTCACATTGATACATTACATTGCATCCCATCATTCTCAAATCACAAATGGAAAGAGTGGCTGCATTCCACAGTCTCTGAATTCTTTCACGTCAGCTCAGCAATCTTCAAGTGAAAGGTAGGATAAATTATTACAGGAGACTTCTCAGCATGGCTGTTCTAAATCAAATGCTGTCAAATAATTTTTAACTTTCTTTGATCTGCACTCAATCTCTGTGTTCTTTGCTGACCTATAGCACAGACTCTCCTTGACTTCCATTCCTTTTTTTTTCAGTGTCTCTGCTCAGGAACTTTTATTTTCCCTTTTTTATCATCTACATGAAAAAATATATTTAAAAAAAAAAAAAGATTCTAGATCCAATGGCTTGGTGACTTTTATTTTATAGTTGCTTGAAAAAAAACCCACCAACCTAGCTTACTAGCATGGTAGGAATCTAAAAATAAATGAAAAAAAGACAGGAAGTTAAATAATCTTGCAAGAAGGAAAAAATATGATGTTTTGGGCTGAGAAAGTATTCTCCCTAAGGTGTTTTATGGTTATAAGAGGCCCATCACACAAACTCTGTATTTGCTGGCTCCTACAATATATTTTATAAGAGTAATGACTATAACTTAAAAAGCTGGACAGAGAGGAGACTTGGGCAGGCAGGAAAATAGGAATATATTAATGAAGAGAAATAAATGAGAGCAAAAGGGGAAGCCATAGAGACACAGAGTGCGACAAAATGAAA